TATATTCATAAAATAACTAAATTTATGAAATTTAAATAATCTTATTTTCTTATCTTTATTTACAACATTATATAATTTTATGTATATTTCAAATAAAAAATTATATTTTTAACTATTCATGAGATTGTAACTAAATATACTTCATCTGCTTAAATATTTTTATATAATTTTATAGAATTTACATAATTAATTAATTTTTTTATCATGATATTTGTATGTATAATGTATCAAATTTTGTTCCATGAATAATTTTTTATTAAAAAAATTATCTGATTACCTTTATTTATTATTAAAAAGGATCGAAGTATTTTATATCTCTAATAATTATAGATAAATAAATATTAAACATTATAAAAAATTATAAAAAAAAAAACTTACTAAAAAATGAAGGATAAAATAATAATTATAAATATAGATATTTTGTATATATAAATCTCAAATTTGAGAACTTAACTGACGTACAACTTACAAGTTGTTGGTATAATTATTTATATTTAATTATTTATGACAATATAAAAAATTTAGTTTTATAAATAAGTAAATTTTGAAACGGCATTGGAATTTGGAATACACGATTACCTGGAAATGGAAATGGAGTGAAAGGACAAAAGTACCCTGTGTGCGTATTTGTTTGTTCTCTCCTCAGCCAGTGATTTCGGTGTTGTTGCTGTGAGATCGTTCGTGTTCTTGTAGCGCAGTTGATAGGGTTAAGGCCATGGAGCGCATCATCGGCACCAAGTACAAGCTAGGTCGCAAGATCGGAAGCGGATCCTTCGGTGAAATTTATCTCGGTCTCTCTCTCAATTTTTCTTCACAACTCTCATTTCCAAATTATTATTATTGCTGTTAATGCTAATGCTATTATGTTCTGATTACGATTCAATTCAATCCAATTCTGCAGCGACGCATATGGATACCTTTGAGATCGTCGCCGTCAAGATTGTATGCTGCTTTCTGCTCCTACGATTTTTTTTTTTAATTAGTGCAATTTCAGCTTCAATTGATTATTGTGTGGTTGTGGTTTCGCTTCGTTATAATCAGTCATTCTCGCGGATTCGGATTCTTAAACCCTTCATTTTTATTTTTTTTTTAATTTTTGTTTTCGTCGGTTTGATGGTGCAGGAGAACGGTAAAACGAAGCACCCGCAATTGCTTTACGAGGCCAAGCTCTACAATATTCTACAAGGAGGAAGTATGCCTTGTTATTTTTCTTAATGACTTGAAGGAATTTGTCTTAGTTTTTAATTAATTGTTGGTATTGTGTGTGCATGTATGTGTGTGTGTGAGTGAGTGAATGAGTTGGTGTGTGGAGGTTGAGGGTGTTACTGTTAGGAAGTTGGTGAAGCAGTTTGAAAATTTTGATTTTTTTTTTAATCCAGGTGGCATCCCGAGCATAAAATGGTGTGGTGTAGACGGGGAGGAAAATGTGCTTGTTATGGATTTGCTGGGACCTAGTCTTGAGGATCTCTTTGTCTATTGTGGAAGAAAGTTCTCCCTCAAAACCGTGTTGATGTTGGCCGATCAAATGGTAATTATTATTGTTATTGGACATATGGGTTATTGAGTTGTCTGCAAATTGTTTATGGGTTCAGCTCAAAGGACTGCAAAATCCTCCTCGTTATGGCCCTTTTTGTTGTGCTTTCTCAGCCTTGTTCTGTTATTTAGGCTTGGGGAAAAATTGCCGTTAGCATCAGTGTGTTATAAATCTTGTTATGTGTTATTTTGTGCAGATGAGTAGGATAGAATATGTGCATTCTAAAGGATTTCTACACAGGGATATAAAACCTGACAACTTCCTCATGGGGCTTGGTCGGAAGGCAAACCAGGTGACTATCCTGTTGTTATGGTTTCGCTTCATTTGGAGTTGACATGCACTGTCATACCTTCAGTTATTTGTTGGCATCAAATTAAATATACATGTAATCATGGCGTACTTGACAGGTTTACATAATTGATTTTGGGCTTGCAAAACGATATAGGGACTCCACAACTAATCGCCACATTCCTTACAGGTTTCTAACTTTCTATTATATTTATAATTTTTCATTGAATTATTTCTCTCTCTACCGTTTTCTATTATAATATATTTTTTAAGAGTATTTCTTTCTTTGTTTTGTTCTTCTCATACTTGGTAAAAATGCCAGAATTAATACTATTAAGTTGTACTGCACAGAGAGAACAAAAACTTAACAGGGACTGCACGCTATGCAAGTTGCAATACTCATCTTGGGATTGGTAAGTCAGAAGAAGTTATTTAAGCTCTTCTCTCTAAATTAAATGCAATTTTTCTCTATGTTCAATTTCTATTTTATTTGTAGAGCAAAGTCGACGGGATGATTTGGAGTCACTTGGGTATGTGCTTCTCTATTTCCTCAGAGGAAGGTATGCCATTCTTCTCTAAATGTTTTGCTTTCATGGGATTTTTTGCAAGTATCCATTGTGAGCTATATAATGAAATGTGCTAACTTTTAAATGACTGAATATTTGTGTTTAGCCTTCCTTGGCAAAACCTAAAGGCAGCAACAAAGAAGCAAAAGTATGATAAAATATGTGAGAAGAAAGTATCAACTCCTATTGAGGCAAGTGTTTGGACATTACTTTGATGATTGATGTTAAAGTATTTTTTTCACAATTCTTATTTGTTTGTTATTTTTACAGGTTTTATGCAAGTCTCATCCTGTAGAGTTTGCTTCATACTTTCATTACTGTCATTCTCTGACCTTTGATCAGCGACCTGATTATGGATTCTTGAAGCGCTTATTTCGGGACCTATTTGCTCGAGAAGGTGACTATTTTAATGTTTTCTTGAATAATATGGAATCAAATAATTTGCAGGATTGTGTTTTTATTCCTTTGGAATAGCATACTTGGATATGGAAGTTATTGCTATTATAACTGAATGTTGGGATACAACATGTCTGATTAAGTATATCAAAAGAAAGGAAGTGAATTTCTTAAAAGAAAAAGAAAAAGGCAAATGTGTAATTTACCCCTTTTGTCAGCATCTTTAGAAGATAGTTTATACAATAGCTGCAGGACAGTGGAACTAGACATAACTCTGCAATCTTTATATTCTACACACGCATACTTGGTTTGATGCACTGAACAACACTAGCCATGTTCAAAGTTCAAACCATGAAGAAATATATGATGTCAAGTGGACCTCTTGTTTTCATTGACACACTCTTTTATTATGCATAATTCATGTTCAAATGTGATGTTAGCAATATTTGTCTTTGTTTTTATATCTACATTTATGCAATTTTTCTTATTGGTATGTACAGGTTATGACTTTGATTATGTATTTGATTGGACTATTTTAAAGTACCAGCAGGCACAAAAGAATAGAGTTCAGCCTTGCATATCAGTAAGTATATTGGCTTTACATTTATAGAGGTTTGAGTCTTCCCATGCTTGTAATACTAATTTTTTTCATATTGCAGACGGCCCCCGGAGCAAGCAACAGTCCTGCAATACCAATGGATGTGGACAACCATCAGGGTTGGTGCATCTGAAATTAGTTACATAATTTTTTGTGATTCTTCATAAAACATGTGTCTTGTTCTTTATTACTTATTGGCAGGTTTTAATGTTTATTCAGGGGATATCTCAGCAGAACGCACTAAATCAGGCAATGTTACTGGTTCTGGTGTTAAAATTCAGTTTAAATCACCCGTTGGTAAAAATTTGGGTTCTGAAAAGCCTCTTGACAAGAATGTAAGTCATCCTTAAGCAAATACTTATGAATTATTGCTATGATTGTCTTGCCATGCTGAATCACAATTCTTAGGTTGCATGCTATTATGATTTAAAACTATGAAATAGATCAATGTTTAGCATTTATCAAGCATGATTTAATTAATTTATTCATTTAATTGTAGATTTTTGGTGAAGCAAATATACCCTCTACCTCATACTCTTTTGCTGACAACTTAAAAAGGAATTCCTTGAAGCCTGCCTTGTCCACTGAAGCCCCTGGACATGGGCAGGGAAGTAATAAAATTGGCCCTTCAAGTAGCTGGATTTCATCTCTGCAGCGCATGTCTTCTGCCAAATGAATGTCCAATATGGTAATTTTCTGGTTCATAATAAATATTCTGCAGTGACTAGCGAGTTTTATTGTCTCTATTCCTATTTTTGACTTTATATTATACTGTGTATCCAGGTTTGATTCTGATCAAGAAGATTCCTGTATACATTCGGGAAGCTGCAAATTCATTTGATTTGCTTGCTTCAACTTTACATTTTTGGTCAAGAATTCTAAAAGTGATATATCCATGGAGGCTGCATATGTGCTGCAAGGTTGATAAATTTCAAAGCTCATCTTCTGTTGCTTTTCTTCCTAAGGTGACTGCAAACGATTGTTTGATATAAATTACAGACTACCCACAGGCTTGGCTGCTTGCTGTAGATAGATTTCAAATGTGACACACAGCAATCTTGTGTATCCATGTTTTTATGTAAAATTAATGTGTGAATGTAGCCTGTTTCCCCTTTTTGTTACTTGCTGATAATTATCATTGGGCCATATAATATATGGTGACAGAGTTTCTTTTAAATTGATTGATGATATCATGAATTGTAGGCATACTTTCAGTTGGTTCTGTTGAGATATATTTCATTTTAGTTTCTGGCTTTTGTTGGATTTATTTCTACCTGGTTATGCTATTTTCCCTTCCTAAATAGTTTACAGTGCAGTGCAGTTATGTATATCATGTTTTGAAGCTTCCATGAATGAAATTTCTTTGAATGTGGGAAAATCTAGACTGAAGAGTTTTTTCTCGTTAATATTTTATCAATTGTTTTGGTGTTATGACTTCTTTCATCGCTATCTGGTCATTTGCCTCTGATGATGGTAAGTTGATATTCCTGTTAATGTTATCATGTTTTCAGAGAATATAACTATATCAAATCAGAGGCAGAATATTGGCGGAATGATCCCTGAATTAATGGTTTCTTAAGAGACATCAAAGGTAGTTTTCGGTGGCATCTATTTAATGCTTCCAAGCATATGATTTTTGGTATTATATAAGATGAGGTCATTTAATTATGTATTCCTGTATCTCATCTTTTTTTTTTTTTCATTTTGATTTAAATGTTACTCAAGGACTACCATTTTATGTTTTAAAAAAATGTTTTTCAAGGAAAAAATTTCGGTGTCCTGCCAATGTCAAATTTTGAATTTTATATAATTACTCATGGTTAGAACAATCTAAGAGTTTTCAAAATTTTCAATACACGGGTGTTGCTCAAGAAACACTCCTTTACTTATGGTAGCTCAAATTTGATGGTCAGCTAGATTAACTTGTATTGTCATTCTTGGAGGAAAGAAAATTGGTTTTATTTCAGTGTAGTTCAAGGTTTGGATATGAGCAGCTCAATTATCGGTTCACACTTCCTCTTTTGCAGGATTTCTTTTCTCAACCTATAGTCTCAAGGATGAAATATGACTGACAGTTATATTTATATGGATGACATTATCAACTGGAACATACCTCTCGATACAGGTTGGATTGCCATAGCACTTTGGGAATACTTCAGCTTTGTGACAAGCTTGAAATAAGAATTGCTTTTAATATGGATGTTGGTTAGCAATGATCTTTGAAGATCTATGATTTATGTGATTCTAACCAACATTTCTGTGAAGTTGACTATTCATTATTTCAGTTGATGGTCATGATCTGTGATCGATGATTTTGTTGCTGATGATAAGTAGGTCTTTCAAAGGAAAAAATATATAATAGAAAACACTGCACATGAAGGAAGCTCACTTTCATATATTTGAAACTATTTGGTACTTCCATGGTCCATATCCTTTCCATGTGTACAAGTTTAGTTCAATAAGATTGGCATCACATTTTTTTTACTAACATTATCTCCATTTGCATTATTTAAAAATTTTTGAAGACATTTTGTAAGTTAACATTTTACATTATCATAGGATAAAAAAAAATTAAATTCAAATTCAAAATTGTTTTGTATGAATGAAAAAAAAAATTATTTAAAACATAGAATGAGACTCTAGATTCCAAGTTATCCTACAATGTTTGATGTTGGTGCCTCAAAACACGTATGAGGCCAATGAAAATTTGATTGAAGAATTGTAGCTAGTTAATTTGATTGCTTATCATTGACATACCAGTAAAAATGTGAAGAATAAGGTATGAAGATAATAATGAACAATATTCATGGTTACATTTTATGATTTTGATGTTTTAAATACATCCAAGATATGCAAAATTATATTTAATGGTTTGGTGTTTTAAACAAATCCAACCAATTAGGTGAATAAAAATTTTGCTTGAAAACAAGGGAAGCAGCATAATTACAACTTTATTCTGCATTAGATGAATGAATACACAGTACACGAGTGGCATCTTATTAACTAAGATATGTAATTTTATACAATTTAATAAAGTGTGATGATTATTTATTTATTGTCTATTTATATAATAAAAAGATATTATACAATCTAATAATATTGGTAAAACATAATTCATTGCTGTAATTTAAAAGTTTTCACTTATCAAATTTTGTGATTTAGTTATCAATTTTATTTTGTATGTTAAAATTCTTTTTTAGAAAAAAAAAACTTTTATGATGACCTATTTCTATAAAATTATTATGCTGGTTCAATTAAAAAAAACTTGATATATATATATTAACCTTCCTTTAGTAAGTTGAATAATATTGTAGATATGTGACAATGAAATAGTTTTTCTCCTTTCGTTTATACTCATTTTAAAAGAATGAAACTTGTCGTGATTAGATTATAAATTAGTACAGAAATTAATCGCTTAGGTTGAATGTTCAAAAACATAACTTTATTCTAATTATTTGTTGTTGATTATTTTTATTGGTTCCTTAATTTTTTTTATTTTATATACTTTATATGTAAAAAAGTTTTAAAAAAATATTTAATTTATTTTCTAATGTTATGTGTAAGTTATTGTTTACAGTAATTTATTTTATTTATTTTATTTTATACGGGAGGGATTTATTGTTTACAGTAATTGTCCTAGTTATAATATTTTGAATCATTATTTTTTAAAATTAATATTTTTTTAATTTCTTTTGTTATCATAGTACTAAGTATCTCAAATTTTTTTATGGATGACTAGTGTCCATTAAAGTGTAACATTTTGTGTTAGATCTAATTCATTTAAAGTGAGGAGATTTTACTTAAAAAAAAGAGTGTTATAATAACTGTTATTAAAAAATTAATAATAGATATTATAATTAATTATTTTATATTATTTTATAATCTGTTTTAGTTAATTTTTTAATTAACAGTTATTATTGTACCTTATTCATCACATGCATAATATAGATAGTAAATAATTAAAATTATCATAAATAAAAATTTAATTAAAATCACATTAATATTTAAATAATTAAATTGGTTAAAATAAATAAATAAATATTTATTTTAAAATAAGATATTTCTATAAATATCTTAAATAAAAAAGATTCAATTCTGTGTGCACATATGTGCATCATAACAATTGATTATTCTAAATAGGAAAGTAAACAAACTATAAAATAGTTGAGATATAATAAAATTATTTAAAACTAAGAACTTAGGTAAGAGTTGATTAAATGAGAAGTAAGATTTACTAAAATTTATAATTTTTATTAAATTTTAACTAACAATAATATGTTCAAAAGAGTATATGAAATATGTTGTTAACATTTATCTTTTAAAACTAACTAATAACTTATAATAAAGTATTAATTAACAACTCTTCAAACCTTTATATTATATAAATTTAAAATTATTAAAAATAGTTCGATTTGATTGACTAAACTTAAAAAAAAAATTGCCTTAAAAATAAATAAATTAACTTCTCCTAATCATGGACCAAATGGCCCAGATGAACCAGTTATTTGAGGGTCCAAAATTTATCATATTTATTTAGTTTAATATTCTTGTTTGTAAAAATAAAACAAAAATAGTAAAAATAAAATAAAATAGACTAACTTAATCTAATCTAATGCACTAATTAGAAAATTAGTGGCTCGCTGCGAATTCAGATTAGATCGAGCTAACATATTTGACCCTAATTTTTATAAAACACCATTATTAATAGAATTGGAAATATAAAAGGTTTTGAAAATAATAATGTTCTACATGTACAACCGGTGTTCAAAAGAATCAAATCATGGTGCCCACTATTTTTGAAATACATGTACAAGAATAAAATATACAATTTATTTGAAACGTTCTAAACATAGGCTCACATAATACCAAACACAATAAGGAAAATATTTCATTGAGCATCAATCATGACTCTATGCAATCTAGATACAACATTGTTATTTTAGGAATCACTCTTTTATACATCTACGAGTTCATAACATTGCAATGGCATCCCATTGTCTTCCATCCCTTTCCGTATATTGAACCTTATATTTGAAAAATCCATTTTTTTATTATCAAAATCCCTTCATGTAATAATTTTTAATTAAAAAAATAACCTAAAATCATTCATATTCCAACAAACATTTTGGTTACCTTAAAATCCCAGAATTTCTAAGAAGTTACAATGCTAATAATTCATTATTAAAGATAACATTAACTTATCCTAAAATCTTTAATTTTTAAGTAAAATATTTAATCATTGGAAGTTTAGAACAAAGATTGTTGTACTCACCTCAAATAAACAAAAGCTAAGCAACATTCTTCTTTATTAAGGGGATTTTCTTTTCCTTCTTTCTCTTTTGTTTTGAGTGTGGCTTAGATATTTTATTTGTGAGAATCATACATCTATGTATTGTGGTGCGATAGTTGATTTAATCATTCAATTCTCATTTGAATAAAAATGAGATACGTTGAATTCAATTTTCAAGTTGTTTTGATCATTAAATTTTCATTTGAATAAAAATATATGTTTCATGTTTTTTACTTTGAATTCAACTGTGGATTCAATTCATATGTTGTACTTATAATACTGAGATTAATCAAATCTTAAATGTCTTTCTAGCAATAAAAATAGGTTAAAAATATATGGTATTAAGTATAATTTTAGAGCATTTTCTCGTCTATATTATATGTCTTACTTAAGTCAGGATTAGACATTTTCCTTTTAACATGAGGGGGAAAAAACTACTCAAAATAATAGATTGTAAGAGTGGAAAAAGATAGAAAAAAGAGAGACCAATCTAAGTGAAAGATTGAAGATGGAAGGAACTTCCATTGCATGAATACTGACAAAAGCTATTGGAAGACTAGATGAAAGGAAGAAAGCAAGAAGAGGAAGTGAGCAATTAACAATAATGAGAAAACAATTTATATCTAACATTTTTTAACACTTCATTCAGTGTTTGGGTTAATCGGTATTATAAAATCTTATATAATAAAGTCATAATGATATGATGAACACCACCATCACCCTGTTCTGTAATTGCAAGTATAAAACATTTTAGAGATATCATGCTTTTAAATTATTGAACACAGCGCGGTGATAAAATTGTGTTAACTAGCAGAGAAAAGGTGATACAAAGCTGAAATAATCTATCAAAATTCTCAAACTCAATATTTTATAGTTGTTACTTGTTAGCTTCAATCGATCAAAGACAAGAGAAGAAGGCCTAGAGAAGAGTACACGAGTCACATTTCGAACTGTAAAGAAAATGTTTGAGCCATCATAGGAGAAAAACTAATATATCATCTTCAAAACCTTGAGAACTCTCACCACTTCATTCAGCACAATTGCTGGATCGGTGGCGTCAACTCCAACCATTGCAGCCAATAGTTCAATTTTCTTCTTTATTTTTTCATCAAGCAGCAACTCATCCAAACTCACTTCTTCATCTGATGCATCACCATCTTCCTCATTGGATGAATCTGTTTCTGACTTGACACAAGAATGGTCCCAAAAAACATCAGAATAGCCACATGAGTCTTCACTTGGTGTGAAGGAATTGGAGTTGCCTTTTTCAACCTCAGCCCTTGAATTGAATTTCATGGTAGAAAACGAGGGACAGAATTTGTCGAAAAGTGTGTGATTATTTGAAGTGAGAGAAGGGTAGGAAAAATATGGTGAAGTGTATTGTTCTTGTTCTCCAAAGGGTTGCAGCTGATGCTGCACCTTTGAGTTTTCTCTACCATGATTCATTTCTAAATGCTAAGGAGGAACATTTAGAAAGAACAAAGAGTGTTGATATATAAGGAAAACATTTTTTTACCCCTCTTTGAAATGCAGTAATTACAACAATTATATAATTCTCCTTTTAAGTAAGTGATTAGAAGTTCAATTTAGTCAACACATAGAGAACAACATTTAGCAAGAGAAGTTAATTGTTTAAATAAATTTTAATACATTAAAAAATTATTCGTTAATTTTCTACTAGAGAATACTTTATAAAAAAATAAAAAAAAAGTTAGTCCAAATGAAGAAAAAAAAATGTAGAGAGTAAAAGCAATAAGGTAATTATGGAACAAGGAAAGAAAACGAGGTAATTATGGCCATAATTCAATTGTACCCTAGAAATTTGGGTAAGGCTTCATACTTTTAATATTTTTGGTTAAGTATATATGGCCCATGATCTCATCTTTTGCACACTGCTGTTTTCCTATATTTGACTTCTGTAACTTTGCAAAATATATTATATAATATATATTACCTTTTGTCACTTCATATCTGATGAACATCTATGAGCTCCCATTTGCCCCACTGCTTTCTCTTCAACACACATGCTCCTTCAGGCAAGAATGCACACTTGCACATACAGACACAATCGAGTACATACATGATTGATGAAATTAGATTCCGCAACCATTGTATACTTTCAAAGATGAAGGTGATTTTGTGTGTTATGATTACTTAATTTTTTTTATCTATTAAGAACATATACACGTTTATTTTCGAGATGTTTTCCACCCTGTTAGATATTCAAAAGGAATTTGGCTCATCTTACCTAGTTAAAACTTTTTTATTTTATGTTAGTAAGTTGGTTAACATTTTAAAAAAGGGTCCATCACTGTTATTTTGACCACAACATTAACTTGATCACTTCAGTCATATTTATCTTACAAGGCTCAATTTAAAACCTTGATGTTCTAATTGTGTAGAAAAATATTGTTCACTTCTAGAAGGTCCATAAAATCCATGGACATAACTCCATTGACATAAGGGTTCTAGGCAAAATCAAATGGCAATGGACATTTTAAAGCCAGGACCAAGACCAAAAGGAGTAATAAGTGGCTGAAGCAGAGGCACCAAAGGGAATCAAATCTGTACTTTTGTGTCCACAAATGATGTCTACTACTAAGTAGGAAGGTAAAACTTAACTTCAGATTATGATTGCTTCCTGTCATTCACTTGAACCACTAAATGCTCTATTGCAACCTAATCTTACCAGAAATCAAGTCAACGCCTCACTGGCTCGCAATTCTCAAGCCTAACCTTAAATAAAGCACTCTTGAAAAGCCCAATTCTAAATTTGAACTCAATATTGTAGGTAAAATTTGCAAAATTACATACTTGCTCGCAAATCATTTTTGCTGTGATCAATTATCATAGGATTTTTAAAACGAGAAAAATAACAATACACTCTTTAACACAATTTTTTTTGTTATCAATTGAAATTTATTAAAAATTATAAAATTTTATAAAATTCTTCTTTTTTATTTGATAAATAGATCTCATTTTCTTAGTCATGGTGGACCTCATATTTTATTTAATAAGGTCTCTACTATAATCTTATAGTTTTTAATAAATTTTAATTAATAATAAAGAATTAATATAAAAAAATTAGGTTGGTAACACACTAGTGCGTTTAAAGTGGTTAGAAATTGAAAGTTGGAATATTTAGAAAAAGATCTGGCTAAAGCAGTGTGTTATAAACACCCGCTAAAGAATTGATAATTTTTTTATTGAAAATAATAGTCGAAAAAATTAAAAACAATGATAAAGTGCATTAATGACATTTTTTTAAATAAAAACTTTTCAGTTTGATTGATTTCTTAACCAGTGTAGAGAGATTCACGTCCACCGAAGGCAATCTAGGAACCGAGTAGGAGCCTTGATTGTAAATTTGTAATTTTCTATTTATCATCATTTTTTAAGTCTTACTTAAAAGTGACTTAAATTCTGACAAGGTATTTATTTAAAACATTTCATATATCTTAGCATTTTAATTAATTATTTAAAATATTAAAAAGTATATGCTTTTTACTAGATATCTTATACTTTTTTTATTTAGTGTCCCAAGACACTAGTTAACAGTCATAAATATTTAATACCTATATACAATATTGTGGAAATTGACAGTTTTTCATGGTCAATGTAACTTTCTTATGTGACATGATACAATTATGGAACATGCAATGTGGAGAAGGAAAAACATCGTGTTATTGCCAAAATCAGAGTGTCATTGAAATTATATAAAGCTGAAGATATTTGCTGCAAGGGTCATTTGTACAGTCATTATTTCATCATCTACAAAAAAATGGACTTGTGTATCATACATTAACTGACTCAAATAATTTCAACAAAGAATACCATTTGATATTAAGTCTCCCAAAATTGCCATGATAACTCAAAAACTACTCCAACTCCCTACGAAAATCAACATTATCTGCAAAAACCTGTTCATTAAGGTGGGAAAATCAAGTTAGTCACAAATGTTTCATTATAAGAAATAATTAATGAACAACATAATGGAAAAAATGGTGAAAATGTCCATAGAACCATACAGTTTTCCATCCATCAGGATCCACACATGATGTGATCTTTGTCCTTACACCAGGTGCTGGTCCAGGTTCCCTAGTAACCCTCCCTCCTGCAAGTTTAATTGCTTCTGCAGTTTTGTACACATCATTTGTGCCTATTGCAATCTGTGAACAGAGAATAAATAGAACAAATTGTCATAAATGAAGAGCAAGTAACTGTTAAGATTGAAACACAAGGTAGCAAGCATTCAAATAATAAAAAATCATACGAAAATTCAGCCTTCTCTTTACTACAGAGAAACGAAAGCAAAATTGGAATAATGAATGACAATTGGGAAGCACTCTTAGGAGATTAAAAATAGGGGGAAAAAAATCAAAATAAGTTTATCCATTAGCTAAATAGCTTATGGTTAAGTTAAAAATAAAATTTTGGAGCAGTGTTCAACTTTAACCAACAATGTAAGACTCTTATTCACACTTGAATTCCAACAAATACGAGAAAAATTTTATAAATTAATTTATGCACAAGCTAATTTTAGCTTATAAAAAAGTTTATTTCATTTTTGCTTCCTATTTTTTTCTCTTCTAAAAGTGTTTCTGGATAAGTTTACCTAAACATACCCTCATCTAAAATTAATATTCAAATAATGTTATTTTAATTTTTAATATATTTTGTTAAACAAATTAAAAAAAATAATATAATTCATACTTTATATTTAATGAAACATTCTTTATAAATTATATAATATTTTAAATTTAATAATGAAAAAACTTATTTTATTTTTACTTCTTATTTTTCCTCTCCTAGAAGTATTTCTCGATAGATTTACCTAAACAGACCCTTAGCATATTCAAATGATATTATGAAGAATAAAAAGGGAGAGGAACTTTTGTCTACCTGAGCATAAGCATCTCCTTTTTCATAGTGTGTGACTCCATAGTTGTAAGTCAACTCCAGTACAGCATTTTTTTCCTCTGGACCATAACCCAGTATTGCTATTGTATTCTACCAAAAGGGAAAGAAGAAAAACCACAAATGATCATAGGTGAAACAAAGTCAATACGTGCCCAATATATCAAATAAGGTAATAGTAAAAAAAAAATTGGACCAATAAAGCAGGCAAATTTGAACCAAATAATGGTAAAAATTGCTTAAACCTCAAAAAATAAACGGTAGATGATACATATATTTAAAAAAAAAAACATAAAACTAGTTAAAGAAGCAGAACCTTTCACGAAAAATTGAGGGGATAAATTGTAAACAGGACGTTAGGTCCACATGTTCATAATTACTTTCGATGGCAAAATTTCATTATGCAAGGTGTGTCTCCCATTAGTTGTTTGACTAGCTTACACTGGATGGTAGTTTTTAATGTCAAGCTGTGTCTTGTAGACAGTTTTAAGTACACTTTAATTTTAAGGACAGCTGCATGCATAGACAGTTTTAAGTGACATCTCAAACAAATTAAACACAAATGGATTGGCTTTGTAGGCAGCAACAAAATCCTGTGTGTAACATTAGTATCCTGTGCATCTGTCTATTAAAAAACTAGATGGACGCCTATGGAATCACAAGTCAATAAGAAAAAAAAAATGCCACATGCAACTTTTTATGTTGAGGCACAAGCTGCAAAATAACCCTCTGATAGCCAAAGAGATAAAAGGCCAATTTTCCCCACAACCAACTGAAAATCTAACAATCTCATTTAGTATCAAGTTGATTGCTGCACACTCAGATATAGGATTTCATATAATAAAATATTGAAATAGTCATTTGGTAGAAACCCAAATTCAACAGCACGTACAGTCTTAACAATGTTACTTTTAACATTTTGTAGTCAAACCCCAGGCAAGAGATCATTGCATCTTAGAGGATTGATTAGAAAGGGATCCTTTACCTCTAAGTACTAGGTTTATATTAGATACCTTAAAAGATCACAATGCCAAATATATGTAACAAAATGGATATCAAGGCACCTTGGATTCTGGATCATCTTGTGTTCGAAGTAGCTCCATACCAAAAGCCTAACCAGCAAGCAATCACATAAACCAATCAATGTTGTGCTATGAAAATAAGAAAACTGTAAATGTAAACCAACATAAAATTGCATTGACCCTCACCTTCTCATAAAATTTAATGGAACGATCAAGATTGCCCACTCGAAGCATTACTTTGCACAAAGGCTCCGGAGAGGGAGTCCTTTCCAAAAGTTCAAATTGATAACCATCAGGATCTTCGATAAATGCAACTATTGAGTTGCCTCCCTTGACAAGACTAGGCTCTCTAGTAATTTTCCCACCCTTAGCTCTAACAAGTTCCACTATTCTTGAAATCTAGTAAATAATTATAAAGACAAGGAAATTCCACATTATACATAGGTCAAAAAGAACAAGGAAATCCCAAGTAATAACCACAACCACAACTACATTTCCATCCCCACGAAGATAAGAATAAAAAGATACAATTGGAATAGTTCACACACAAAATTATATTTCGCCGGTGAAGAATGTTTTGCAAACTTACATCATCAACAGCAAGACCAAAATGGCCAAATCCATCTCCAATGTCATACTTGTCAATCCCATAATCTGAAACATGTTAAAGGAAAATCAACATTAAGAGAAGGATTTCACTGCTCAACAATATAAAACTGGTTTCATAAAATGCAAAGCCCCGTGATCATCAGGAATGTCAAGTTAGTCACACTCTTACTGTATGTAAGTTCAATAACAAAGTGTGCATCCTCAGGCCCATATCCAAGAAAGGCATTGGTATATCTCTGTTCTTGCATATCACGTTGTCTGAGCAACTTCATTCCTAGACACTCTTTATAAAATCTGAAATCACAACACCAAGTTTGTCCTCCCATGAAAATAATTACAGTAGAGAAACATAGATAATAGTTCGTAACTAATATAATTTTTCTTAATCCATAAAAATTAAAACGACAGGATAGAATTTGATCCTAAGTCCTTGTATATACTATTTCAATCTCATCACTAGGCTGATTCAAATTTAATTTTGGACATACTTTATGGTCTTGTCTAGGTCACCAACACGATACACAACATGAAGCATTCTTCTCTTGTCATGTTTGACCCAATCTAGTACATTTTCCTGTGTAGCAGCTGGGGACATGCTCCCTGATGCCATCACTCCCATGCAGTTTTCATCACGTCTCAGAAACCTAGAAGCTATCAGGCCAAAATTACGAAACTGTCTAACTCCTGCATGAAACAACCCATCAACAATCCCAGATTATAAAAATTACACACACACCTCAACATGCAAGAATACCAGCCATGTTAAAAGCATGTGCCAAAAAAACATGCAAATGCAACAAAAATAGAAACAAACACAGTTTTATGATGAAAAATAGACAAAAATAAACCCATTTTAAATCGGGTGTAAAATCTCGGACTGCTCAAAGGGTGGATGAAAAAGATAGCATCTTTGGGGAGTATTTGCAAAAGGGTCAACGATTTTGGCTTACCGGTGCCGAGATAAAAAAGAGAGATCTTTTGAGAAGGGTTGCAAGAGGAGAGGGAGGGTAACTTGATGGAAGAGAGTGATGGACGAATTGAAGAAGCCATGGAAGGAAAACCAATTTACAGAGTGAAGTGAATGAGAAAAACAAACGAATAACGAACTCGAATGTTTAAAGCTAAGAATGAGATCATAGGTTTCTTTATGGTACGGAAAGTTCATCAAATCAAGGGATCAAAGGTGTGTTTGTTAAAGATAAAAAGAATAAAAATAAAATAGAAAGAAAAGCATAGAAAAGAAAGAAAAAAAAATAGAATGAAAATTGAGATTATTGGAGAGAAATAAAAAAATTAAATTAATTTATATTAAATAAAATTAATATTGATATTATTGAGGATAATAACAGAAATAAGGCTTTTTTTTTTTTTGGTGTTGAAAGGCTTGATAATATTGAGGATAATAATAGAAATAAGACTTGATATATTACAGATTGCATTGAGGATTTGCATTGATGACGATGACAAAAATAAAACTTTATATGGTAGATTGCGTATTCATATTTATGTTCTATTTTGTTATTTAAGATAATATTTGATATGATTAGATAATTAGTATGGTTATTTATTTAATGCGTCGGGTATTTGATTTAAAATATTATATATGATAATAATTAATAAATACAATACAATAATTATATATTTATTAATTTAATGTTTTTATAGTTTAAAGTTATTTTTATGTTTAATTTATAAAAAAAAAATTGATGGTAGAGAACTTATAAAATAATATATACAATAACAAGTTTAATATATTTATTAATCTTATTATAACTAATTTATATGATATTTAAAATAATTATCGACTTTCTTTTACACCTACTATCTAGTTAATATATAATATTATTTTTATTAAAAATTATTTATTTACCATAGTTTTAAATTATTATCATGTAATATTATTGAACACAATGTTATTGTAATAATTGATTTATATATAGTATGATAATTGATTGATGTTTCATTTTTTACCATTATTTATCTACTTCCTTCAATAAATATAATTATTTTTTAAAAATAACTATTATAATTTAAATATTATTTTGAAAGGAATGTTTCATTTGATTGTCATTTAAATTATAGTCTAATTTTCTATTCAATTAATATAAATATTTATAAATAAAAAACTTTATAGTGGCCATATAACAATTATTCAACATTGTTAAAGAAATGTAGGAAAAGAAGAAAAAAAGAAGTGAGAGAAAATAAAATTTATCCTATTATATATGAAATAAAGAGAAACAATGTGAATAGACAGCATTTTTGATAGTTTAATGGTATGAAATGTGCCATTTTCTTTTGTCCATGGATATGTTCAACCCATTGTCTCAAAACTAATAACTAGAGAATAATTTACATTCACGTCTACTAACTAAACAGTATTTTAATATAGACCAAAATTGAACCTGGAACACCAGGTCAATGCTTTTTCATTTTTTTATTTTCTTTACCATTTTTTTCCCCGAAACAAGAAAATCTACTTTGTGAATCTTGTTCCTTTTTATCTCATTCCTTTTCTTTGGTATATTTTCATTTCACCCATTTACGCATGAAAAATGCACTACTAGAAAAGTGTTATTTTTTTGCAAATTTTCTTGCAAAAAAATATTCATAGAAAGTTGTTGCGAAATTTCTTGCAAAAAAAATATTTGCAGAAATTTTTTGCGAATTTTCCTGCAAAAAAAATTCGCAGAAATTTTTTGCCAATTTTCCTGCAAAAAATAATTTACAGATATTTCTTACAAATTTTGCTACAATTTTAATAACCATGGAAAAAAAATTTCCATGGTAAAAATTTGCAGAAAATATTGTAAGAATTTTATTTTGTTTCTTGCGGATTTTCTTGCAAAAATAAATTCGCAAGTAATGTTTACTAAATGGTAGAAAAATTTTGTAGGTAACTTTTCTTGCGGATTTTCCTGCAAATTTTAATTCGCAGGAAAAATAAAAAAAATATTTAATTTTAATATTTTAAAAAATCTTCAAGTCCCACATCGATTGAAAATAAAACAACTAAAGAGTATATAAATTGGGACAACACTTACCTTACAAGTTGAATTGTATGGTTGAGTGTTAGGCTTATAATCTACAATCTTAGAATTTGAAAGATTATGTATGAGACATGAAAATAAAAGATTATGAATTCTTAAAATATATAATTTATAGTAATTTTTTTTAATTATTTCGTAAAAAATATTCTTACAGAATTTCTTGCAAAAAAATTTGCAGGAAAGTTTCCTACGAATTTTTTTTTGCAGGAAAATTTCCTGCAAATTTTTTTTTGCAGGAAAGTTTCTTGCAAATTTTCCTATGGATTTTTTTTTGTAGGAAAATTTCCTGCAAATTTTTTTTTGCAAGAAACTTTCCTGCGAATTTTTTTCGCAAGAAATTTCGCAGGAAAATTTCCTGCGAATTTTAAAATTCGCAAAAATATATTATCCACGAAGGTATTACCTGTAAATAAAATTTCGCAGAAAAATTTGTAGGAACAACGTTTCCTGCAAATTTTTATGAAAAATTCGCAGGAAAAGTCGCATGTAATAAGAAAAATTCTAGTAGTGTATGTCATTTAATTGTATAACCTATAAAATATTATAATTGACATTGATAATTATTGAAAATAAACATGTAATACAAATTCTAATTAAAAAATTCAAATCACATGATTATGCTACAAAAGAGCGAGAAAAAGGTATGAAAACTATCCTAGATTTTTATATATTAAGATACGATATTGATATAGATATATAAATTGGTGTTATTAAATATATTAAAGCTTAATAATTTAGCTATATAAGATAATTCATATATGTGATGAAGTGTGACAATTATTTTTAACAAAATTGTGGGGTAATTACAAAATTTTTATTAGCAAATTTTTTATTCCTTATTAATTAATTATCACCTACACATAGATAAAAACAACCATTGTTTCACCATTAATTATATGCATTTAAAAAATTAATCATAATAAAATGACCTATAATTTGATTCTAAATTTGAATTTAGATCTACAGTTATGTTAAAAATTAATATTATTTCAGTATTATATGTATTTAATATATTAATCGCATTTTTTAATAATATTTCAAAAAATTTATGAAATATTATTTACATTTTTAATTGGCGTAATTTAATTTATTAATTTATAATAAATTTGTTTTATAATTAATAAGAAGTATTTGAATTTTAAAATACCGAAAAGTTTTAGAGAAAAAAGTTGGCCAAAATTATGTAATTTTAAGCACAAAAAACTTTGTAAAAGTCTATTCTACCTTTAATAATTTATAGATAATATTTCAAAAATTTTGTGAAAGATTATTTATGTTCTTAATTGGCTTAATTTAATTTATTAATTGTTAATAAATTTATTTTATAATTATTAAAAAATATTTAAATTTTAAAAGATCGAAAAGTTTTAGAGAAAAAAGTGAGTCTAGATTATGTAATTTTGAGTAAATTTTTTTTAGAGACTATTTTATCTTTAATAATATATAAATATAAATACCGGATTGGATTTGATAATTTGATAGTTATTGTATCTTATTTAAAGATAGGTAGTACTATAAGCTCTATGTAATTCAATGAAATACAAAAACATATTTTTCCATTATGGCATTCGAGTAATTTGATAATCCTAAAGGGATCAATACATAGAAGAGTCATACCTCTATTGATGTCATCCTTACACCAAGCTTGTCTTAATTGTTATCTCAAATCCTTTGATAATCCATGCAAACCTTTGGTTGCAATCACACATAACATAGATAATTATCAAACTTGGGCATGATCAATGTTCAATGAAGACAACATTACACGCAAAGGCAAAGCTTGGATTTGTTGATAGAACTAGGAAGAAATAAGGATGCTTTTCAGATGACTATTTCAATTGGATCATAAATGTCGTAGATCCAAAGTTGCACATCAACATCTCATATGCCACCACAGTACAAGAAGTCTGGCTTGATCTCGAGGAACATTTTTCCCAAACTAATGCCTCAAGGATTCACCAAGAATGACACATGATTTGTTTATTGTAGAAGGAAGATGACCAAGGTGTGGTTGAGTTCTACACCAAATTCAATGGTTGTTGGAGGAGTTGAGTGAACTTCATCCATTTCTCGAGTGTGTTTGCAGAGCATCATAGCAGTTGATTTAAAGAGAGGAAGAATAAATTATCCATCTCTTTCTTGGAAGCCTTGATAATGAAGAATATGGGCATGTCAAGGCAACCATCATTAACACTAATCCATTACCTTCACTCAAATAAACCTTTAACTACATCCTAAGGGAAGAAGGATTTTGATTATAGAGAAAAGGAGAGGCAATAAGAAGATAGAGATAGGGGGTCATCTTGGAAATAGAAGAACCGAGACAGTCTTAAGACTCAATGTGAGCATTGTGGGAAGATTGGGCACACCTTAGCAAAATGCTTTGAAATTGTAAGGTACCCATCCAACTAGGACGAACACAATGAAGAGGCAAAAAGCTAAGAAGCCACACTACTACACATAGGGTTCATGCAAATGCAGACCAAAAGAAAGAAAACATAGAAGAAGTAACCAAAGCTCAAGCATTACATGACATACAACTTGGCAACATGGCTGGTAATAAGGAAATCCAATGGATCTTGGACAGTGGTGCATCACATCACATGACCCCATTATCTTCTATTCTAAGGGGGGTCTAAAAACTTGAAAGGCCTTTCTACATTACAATGCCCATGGAAAAATAATGTTGGTAAAAAGAGCAAGAAGTGTACACCTGGATGAAAATATTAAATTGAATAATGTGTTGCATTTTCCTGATTTTAGTTGTAATTTGATGTCTATTCACAAATTAACTTGTGATCTAAATTGCATGGTGACTTATCAATATGATTATTGTACAGTACAGGACCAAGCCTTGAGGAGAACGATTCACTCTAGTAGTATGCTTGATAGAGTTTATGAGTTCAAAGGGTTTTTATTAGGAGTTTCATATGCAACTACTCACGAAGACACCACCAAACTTTGGCACTCAAGGATGGGACATCCCTCTACTTTAGCTCTTCAACAACTTTCACAATTACTTGAGTGCAATTTTAATTTCAATAAAATTAATTGATGTGATATATGTTACAGAGCAAAACAATGTAGACTCTATTTTCCTTAATCCATTAATAAAGCCAAAAAAGTCTTTTGATTTGATACATTGTGACTTATGGAGGAAGTATCTCACTGCCACACATGATGGATCTCACTATTTTCTCACAATTGTAGATGATTACACTCATGGTACTTGGGTTTATTTTTGTAGCATGGTTAAAATCCAATTTAATGCGGGTATTAAGAGAATGAGGAATGATAATGGCACGAAATTTCCTAATCCATCTCCATAGAAGTTCCTACAAGAAAAGGGAGTACTCCATGAGTTCTCATACATGGGCACACCCTAGCAAAACGTGTGTGTAATGCAAGCATAGACACATCTTGAATGTTGTTAGTGCGTTGAGGTTTCAAGCCAACTTATCATTACATTTTTAGGGATATTGTATTCTTACTGCAAACCATATCATTAATAGAACCTCCACAATAGCCATCAAGGGACGACTCCATATGAATTGCTCTTTGGTAAGCCACCAACCTATGACCATTTTAAGATCTTAAGTTGCCTAAGCTATGGAAGATTTTGCAATTCCTTTCTCTCTTAACTAATATTTTTTTTTTCCTTCTAACCAATTAGAATGTATGTTTTTTAAAGAATTTATAATTAATGTATTTTATGAAATCAAGAGAATATACGATATTTTAGTCTAAAATTAATTAGTATATAAGAGAACTTAAAAAAATTAATCTCAATTCTAACAAAAAGGGTGAACGGAATTTATTATTTTTTAAAATGCAAAAATTACAAATTAATTATAAATATTAATTAAAACTAAGACTAAAAAATTATATATAATTATAAAATTATTAATTTTAATTAAGAATTATAATGCCATGTTTCTTATGCTAAATCTAAAATCTTATCTAAAATTTATCTATAACCAATAAATAATAGGATATTTAATTAGTGTATTCGGACCAACTTAACCCCATTAAATAAAGAAAAAAATATAAAATAGTAGAGGATTCCAACTAAATTTGGTTTTAGGTAATATAATCTAATAACTATATATTGAATTACATATCGGATCATATTCTCTCAAACAACTTTATCCAACTCAAATTATTTTAATTTAATTTATTTTATTTCATTTCATTTATTATTTAATATTTTGAAAAGTTAGAATACATGTATCTAATCACGTGTGTATAATATGATTTTTTTTTCTCTTTCTAAATGTTATTCTGGTTTTTAATAATTAAATTATAATGATATAAAACTATCGATATATATCATCCTCTAATTTAATGAGGTTGATTAGTTTTGGGTTAATTAAAAAAATGGCAGATCTGATCCAACTAATCCAAATTAGCTTAAACATCAATTTTGAACCAAGTGTACCCATCTACTAAACAAATGAGTATATAGTCATTAAATGTGTTCCAAAAAAAAAAAAATCATCAAATGGGATCCAACGTAAGAATCACATTGGCAACGCCAACATTAAAAAAAAAAATACTATTTTTGTTTTTAAAAATATTATCTTATAAGCATTTTCTCTGTTACAGTCTCAATCTTCCACTGATAGAGATGCAGAACTTGACCTGGCTAGGGTTCTGATCATCCCTCTTCCCAGTTTCAGGTATTTCCATTTCCTGCTTTATGCTATTGCTCTTATCTACTTTTCAATCATTGACATGTGAACCCTAATTTTCTTTTTTCTTACATGCTTTTGTTCATCTTCTTCCCGAATCGTGCATCTCATAGAGTAGGCTTTGGATCTCCGATTGGAGCCTTACCCATATTTTCTTAACCTTCAATTGACGCTTTGGGACTAAAAACTTTCCAACTTAAAGAGAAAAGAGCTTGCTCGGAGAGATTGAGAGAGGGAAGATTTGGATCAGGTGTGAAGTGAGGTCTTTCACTTGATTCACCCCACTGCTTGTAGTAAATTTGTTGTTTTGGGTCTATTTTGAAAGTTTGTTAATCTTCTAATCTGTAGTAGATTTTGAAGTTCTGGTTTTAAGTTTTGATCTTGGTGGTGTTTTGAAGTTCTAGTTTAAAGTTTTGATCTTGGTGGTTTTTTTTAATTATTACTTGTTTATTGTACTGTAACATACCCTAGATGGGGTATGATGCTGCTGAGGACTCTTCAGCATCTTCGGTATTAGTATGGTCCAAAATCCAAGTGGAGTTTTATATTAGTGAACTCTGTCTCATCCTTGAATGAGTTATTTTGTTTTTATGTCTGTTATCCTTGATGAAAATTGTGATTATGTTAATATTTGGTTCTGTAAACCCGTGCTATGCCACTGATATGGCTTGCCTTGTTTAACTTTAAACATAAATGCAGATATTTGAGGAGGGTTAGTTATGGTGAAAAGGTGGACTGATAAATAGAGGGTAGTATGAAAGATATGGCAATCAAGCTGTTTTATCTGTTTTGAATTTTGATAGGGTCAGATATTACAATATGGAGGACGAGAGCGGGCTTGAGCTCAGCTTGGGTTTGTCTTTTGGTGGCTCGTCAGCCAAACCCAAGGGTAAGAATGGTAGCTCTTCAGATGCTAGGGCTGAAGAAGTTGGTAGAGGTGGCAAAATGGTGGATGACTTTAAGAGCATGTTTGATAACGTTCCTCAGAAGCCAGAATCTATTATTGGGACTCGAAGAACTGATTCCCCAAAGCCCGAAGAGAACTTCTTTAGTGACCTTTCAAAGGCTAAAGAAGATAATGCTTCTTTGAATTTAAACGGAAGAGGATTTCTGGTTGCAAACAGTAATAAACCTATTGAAATTGAGGATGATAAACGTTCAGAGGCAGCAAATAAGCGAAAAATGCCTTTTGATGATATACGTAATCAAAAGAAGCATGACAGTGATGTTCATCACGCTGATTTACATGATAGGGCTAGAACATCTCATATTTCTATAACAGAAGATGGTTCAACTGCAGAAAATGAAGATGTGGCAGACTCTGAAACTGAGAACTCCACCTCCAGGCCCATCTCACACCACAGTGATGGTTCCAAAGGATTCATCAGAGTTGGTTCTTCTTCCGATGCTGCAAAAGAGGTTCGTGGAAGTGCTGACTCAAATGCTACTGACTTTAGTGGGCAGAAGAGGTTTACAGGATCATCAGAAAAAGATTTTAAGCATGCAAACATGACTTATGGTGCTTCCTTTTCTGTTCAACCTGTAAATGTGATGAATGTACCTTACCCTTCTTCAGTGAAAGAGTCCAGCACAGTTGGGGCACCAGGCCCTCAGATACCTGGAGTGATCCATGTGATGCCTACTGTAACTGGTGAGCGCTCAGGAGCCCAGTCTGTGAATAATGGGAGCTTGCCAGTGATGTTTGGATATCCGCCTGTTCAGCTTCCCATGTTGGAGAAGGACAACTCATGGGGTTTGGTTTCTCGTCCTCAACAATTACACCCTCCCTTTGTTGGCAGAGGTCCAACTAACTCAGGTACTTGTTGTATGAATGGAATATAATCAATATATTGCTAAATGATCAAATCTTCCTAACTCGAACTTCCAAGATGTGTATGTCAGCTTGACAAATTGTAAAAATGTTTTGGATTGAATATATATTCTATAAAATGCATCATGGTCACAAGATTGAAAAATTAAAACAAATGTTAAATATCGTGTAAGATTGAAATATTAAACTTACATGCCATTTATTTCAGGAAAGTTATCAGTTACAATTGCTTGCATTTCTGTTCAGGTTGCAGTTTAATAGTTTCTTGTATAGTTGAAATCTCTATTTGTTGTTTGATGCATACCTAACTTCTGATGGAAATGACATTATGTTGTTATTGTGTGGATATAGCTGCACTGCAAATAATCCCAAACAATATATCTGAGGCCATGCCTTATGATGGAAGACCGTTGGAACGGACCAAAGGAGATGGTAAACAGCGCCTTACTGAAGAAGGCTCCTCCTCACAACCTGAAGATGTGAAAGGGAGAAGCACAAGCCTTAGGGCCAAAGATGTATCGGACCAGTCAACAGGAGAGGGTTCCATCATTGATTTTTCAAACATTAAGCCCGGTCTTGCTGCAGATGTGAAATTTGGGGGGTGTGGTTCGTATCCAAATCTGCCTTGGGTATCCACCTCAGGTTCTGGTCCAAATGGCAGGACAATATCTGGTGTAACTTACAAATACAACACTAACCAAGTTAGAATTGTGTGTGCATGTCATGGTTCTCACATGACTCCCGAGGAGTTTGTTCGTCATGCAAATGAAGACCAGGTCCCCGCAGAGGGCAATGCAGTTTTGGGGACAGTAGCAAATGGCAATCCTGCTGCCTCTTCTCACAGCTAGAGTCTTGTTCGGTTTAAGTTGTACCCTAATATTACAGTTCTCAACAGGTGAATCAGGGAAATCGGGCTTTAATTTTTGTATAGATGAATGAGATTCCTACCATTTTTCTGTACAAACTTTAATAACTCATTTGGCTATTCCATGTTATTTACTTATAGCCAATGCAATCAAGTTTGCAGTTGTATGTAATAATGGCCCAGCTAGCATAATCTGTTCTATTAAATAGTGTCATCAAGCATCTGATTTTATGCCAGCGAACACAGTTCAGCTTTAGCCCCCTCTCTCTTTAGTGTTGAGGATCAATAGTATTAGTAATGCTGTTTTCAGATTGCACCAAATAGGATTACATAAGGTGAGGATAACTAATCCCATGTAGCTATTCTTTATAAGCTTTTCGTAACTAGTTGAATATGGGCAATGTACTCTGCTGGAATATACAAACGTCATGCATATTGGCTCACCCAACACGTGTGGTTATGATAACACGTTGCGTTGAATTTTGTACATCACTGCTAAATGTAATGCTTTCTTTTCAATCATCAAACGTCAAACTTCCAGAAAATCTGCACCCATTTTCCACTACCTGGGATGCCTTTTTCTTCTAAACTCTCCATTCTAGAAACGTGACAAGGCTAGTGAAAAGGGTATGTGCAAAATTCAGTTCCAGATCCCTCTATTTCAAGGGGATTAACGGCCCTCCCGAGCTAACTGCCATTTCCCTTTGTTTTCTCCATTCTCAAAGGGATCCTCACTTATTGCAAAGGATATTAATAACAAAGAGATGTAGAGTTTGCCGACTTTCATTTCTAGGTAGGGAGCTCAAATCTTGCATATTTACTTTATTTATTTTCATGAATTATGAATGTTAGTTTTTTGCTTTTGCAAACTTACACTATTTAGTCATGTATTGTAAAACATGAAGAGTTTCTAAGTGTGGTGTGGTAACACATGATTCAATATTGATAATACATCAAAATAAAAACTTATTTTTACTCCGTCCTTATCTAGCAACATATAATAAATAATAGCCATCGAAATCAAGCAACTACTATTTTAATAAATAATAATCATAGAAATCACCCCTAACTATTTCGTGTTTATCACGTATCGTTAGCATTATCTTTTCCGCTTTGTGTTGTCACCATACAAGCTAGGAAAAAATAAAACATTGCTTTGACCAAACGTGTTACATAACCTTCTACTTCTTTGCTACGAACTCTCGGAACATTACAGCTTTCATTAGGCAGCAGTAAGACAAGCATGTCCTTTATTGATATTGGATAGCTTTATTATAATTGACCAAATCAAACTTGGAATTTGTATATTAACATCGTTTTTCAACCCTTTTATTAAGTTTCTTTTGCAGTGTCAGCGAAACTAATACAGTTAACTTGGCCTCTATTGGTAAAATATAAGAACAGAGAGAATATAACAGGTTGTCAAGAAGGATAGTACAACATTCATGATCATCATTGAACATTGAATATATATTAATTCCACATAAAGGTATCAGTCTCATATCCAAACAGCACCACAGATTCCATACTAAATGCAGCCAGATCAGATTATCTTTTTCTTGTCAATCTAATTTTTCATGTACTTTTAGGTTGATAGTTAGTTCATAATAGAACTTTAAAAGCGTGTGGCATTTCTGTTGTGTTAAGATCCATTGATGGTTTGCAAGAGCAGCTGAAAAGGTAGACTGAACCCAATGGCTAATTCTTTGACTCATGCGATGTGATGTGCTAACTACTTTTGACATTTTCTTTTTGGTTTTCCAAGGCTATTTCTACATCCTTTGGGTGTGAGATTAATCCCCTTTTGTCAGGAAGCCATATGGTTAAAGTTAAACCCTCCTCACAAATGACTTTTGTCTTCCCTTGCAGCACAGTTTACCAACCACTGTCCCAACTCCTTTGTGGGCTTTACTACCTGTCATCCTTTGACATTTTTATCTTGATATCCCTTGTGTACTTTTAAAAGAATAAATAATTCATTTACGATGAACTTTATACAGTCATCTAATTACACAAACTGTTGGGTACAACAAGTTTATTGATTTTTATAACAACTATCTTAAAAGTTATATCATAGGTGATTTACAATTGGTTGATAATATAAAAAATAGTGGCTAATTAGTAAGATATAGAAATTTCATGTATCAGATTAAGTAGTACGTACAAAAACAAAACGGGGTTCAGTCCAAAATTCAACGCAAGGTGAAAGGAGTAATCTATCATATCTTATTACCAGCAAGGTGGGGTAAGTATTATTAAGCTAGTAAATTTGGCTTTGTCATACCATGTGTCATAGGGGCGCGCCTACCAAGTCAAAAGCCGGAGTTAAATACAATTGTAAACCAACCCCACCACCTTGTGGTCACTACTGAGTCCTTAATATTTTAATGACATATTTTAAAGGAAGAATCACTTTGAGACGCAAAACGTAGCCTGAGAAGAAACCAAGAAAACTGACATAAGGAGAGGTTACTATTTGGGGGGAAAAACCAATGAATCATTGAATAATGTCCATGCACAACAACCCCATCACAACCAATCCCTTTATAAATTCCTAAGTTTCCAACTTTTTCAAGTAGCATTTTTGCTGCAGAATGCTTGAGGAGAACCAAAACCATGAATCAACTTGGTGTCACCCTTTTGATTCTCTTAGCCTTGTTCCTCCATGTTACAGCACAGACTGGCACAGCACCTTCAGGAGATGCTGTCTCCAATTTCCAACCAAGCCTTGCTGTTGTCATAGGAATCCTTGGTGTCATGTTTCTACTTACATTCTTTCTTCTCATGTATGCAAAATTCTGTCAACGCCGCGCTTCAGCTCCTGTTAGGGACACAGAAAACCAAGCAAGTTTTGTGAGATCAAGGTCTAGATTCTCAGGAATTGACAAGACTGTGATAGAATCACTGCCCTTCTTCAGATTCTCTTCACTCAAAGGGTCAAAGGAAGGGCTTGAGTGTGCAGTGTGCTTATCAAAGTTTGAAGATGTTGAAGTTCTGAGACTTCTACCAAAGTGCAAACATGCTTTTCATATTGGTTGCATAGACCACTGGCTTGAAAAGCACTCTAGCTGTCCTATTTGCAGGCACAGGCTTAACCCTGAGGACCACACAACCTTCACATATTCAAGCAGTTTAAGGGGGCTAGCAAACCAATCAGATTTAGGTGAAGAGTCCAACATAGAGATCTTTGTACAAAGACAGGAAGAGCATCATGGTTCATCAAGATTCAGTGTTGGAAGCAGCTTTAGGAAAATGGGAAAGGATGTCAAGGAAGAAGAGTTTCTCATCCAAAAAGGAGCAGAAGATAGTGATGGTAACCAGAAGGGGTATCATAAACACAACCACAGGATCACTATATCTGATGTTGTGTTAAAGCACAGGTGGAGCAACGTCAGTTCTTCAGATCTTGTGTTTTTGAATTCGGAGATGCTGAATGCTACATCAAGCAACAGATTCAACAACTTGGAATCAAATGCTGAAATGATGTCAACTCCAAGAGGAGTGGTGGAAAATGAGCAGATTATGAACATCAAGGAGGAGATGGAGAGGAAGATTTCCTTTGAGAGCAAAGTTAGTGCACTGAACAACATAAAATCAGTTTCAGGTAATTCTGTAGGAAAATCAAGTCATGCACCAAAGTATGTGAACACGGGTGAGAAAAGGTCAATGTCAGAAATCACTGTTGTCTCTAGATTTAGAGATTTAGGCATGAAAAGTGGGGTATTTAAAGATTCTTCTTCCTTTCAAAACAGCCTTAAAGAGGAAAGAATGAGGCAGATTTGGTTTCCAATTGCCAGAAGAACAGCTCAATGGTTTGTGAATAGAGAAAGAAGGTCTCAGCAACAATCTCAAAATAAACAACAACCATTAGATGTATGATCCAATCCAATCCAATCCAACCTTCCTGAGGTACACACGTTTGGTTTCAGTCCTTGATTAACAACTTCATGTAGATTTTAGGTTTTTTGTTGAATAGTATATAGTTAAGCAAAGCAGGTATAGGTTCCTTGTTTTTGTTTCAATCTCTATTTTTTAATTCTTACGATCTGCATAAAACCTTTGTTAATGTTTCCATGACAGAAAATGAAAGGAATCCTCGAGACCAGAATAATTGAAACCCTTGTAAACTTAAATTGCAATATTTTTTTCATTTCATAATCATTTTTCTATTGATCTTCAACAAGAATAAAAGAAGACAGCTTCATGCCGCTGTGCTCAATAATGCTGTGTATATGTGTGTGTCAGCCATTTAGTTTAAATATGATCATCTTGGTCATATTATATATCTTCCATTCTCTTTTGCCTAACATATCGCACATTATTAACAACGTACCGAAGTTAGGCAACAAGTAGCTGAATGCCACCATGGTTTCGTAAATCAAACAAGTTTTTTTTTATTCCCTCCTTTTTCTTTAACTTCTTTATGAAGCATGGGAGGAAATGGATCAGCCCCAAAAGTTCAAGAAAGTAACATATTAGTATTTCATTAAGCTTAGTTTTTATATGCTTAACCAATTCTAAAACCTCGAAGTTCTAACCCCTCCCAAGTTTTATACCTCTTCTATTCATTTTTTACTCCTATGATTAAATCTAGATAAAGTAACATAAGTAGGTGTTATTGGTACTATTTTGTAATTAGAACCAAAGTTTCATCCAAGTAATATGTATAATAAATGATTTTGTTAAATATTAATATGTATTTTTTATATAAAACTTTAAACAAAAAAAAAATATTAACTCCCTTATGATACTACATGTAAGTTTTATCTTTAAATCGAATAAAAGGTAAATTGCCAATTGACATCATGTCAACCAACAGAAAAATAAAACTAAATATGTAATTTATGTCATAAGGCTGAATAATTACATATAATATGTATAACTTCATGAAGTTTTTCAAAGTAAGTGGTAGTTTTTGTCAGTTTCTTGTGTCTGAAGTATGCATACATTAATTCATGGCGCAAGAGATGCACTACAATACGCAAGAAATAAGTCGTATCCCATTGTTTTAAGGGCGAAATGAAGGATATCATTGCCAAGTGTGACCTCAGCAATTATATCAGCCAGTTTTTGCACTCTAACTTTGTCTGCTCTGTCAATAGTTTTGTATTATGCAGATCTAAAGTCGGCTAGGCACTAGAAAGACAAAGTTGTAGCTGATATAAGTAGTAAAGATTTATATTTTTTTAATTAAATTATTCATAATTCAAATCATGATTTTAAGTATAAAATAAATTATGTTAAGAAAAAAAATATTTATCTTGATAGTACTTACGATTTTTGACAATGATTAATTAGTATTTCTAACGATGAATATTTTATAATAAAAGAAAGAAGAAAGACAAGGTGCTTACATTGCTGAAATTTTTATTTTAAGAGTATTTTAATCGAGACAAGAGGGCTGTTGATCATCAATTCGTCATGATAGATTAATTGTTAAGATTAGTTTATATTACTATTAATAAATTTGTCAATGTAGTTTTATTTTAGTTACATTTTTTAAGGGGTAGGTCTCCATGTTGTCATTATCAGATTAAAATATTTTGGTTGGGAGTATGGAGCAAAGCGATTGAACAATAAAAAAGTTTAAAACAGGTTAGGAACATGTGCCTAGTTATTGGGCATGTGATGACATGATGATGACGTTAGTCAGCTCGATGTAATTAAGTTCTTTTAAGTGACCTTAATTGGCTAAAGCCGTAGGGTATAATCCGGAAGTAGGGATGTCAAATGTACCATGTCAAATGTACCCGTACCCGTGGGTAATACCCGAACCCGTCCCGACTTTGACGGGGAATACCCGGTTTGACCGGGTACGGGTACGGGTACGAGTACGAGTAAAACCCGATATATTAAATCGGGTACGGGTATGTACTTACCCGTCCCGTACCCGTACCCGTCCCCGTTCCCATTTTTAATTTAATACCTACTTTCAATTTAATTATATTAAAGAATTTTAATATTTTTTTATGTGTAATTATTTATTATAGTATGAGATAAAGAAATAACCTAATTATAATTATAATATAATTAAAAAAATAATCTAAAAATATTATATTTTTTAAAAAAATAAAAAATAAAAAATTTGACGGGTACGGGTAAGGGTACGGGTATACCCGATACCCGACGAGGACGGGGATGGGGATGAAAATCACATACTCGACGGGGACGGGAATGAGTTTGGCTCGCGGGGACCGGGACGGGTATCATGAAATCCGTACCCGCCCCGCCTCGTTGCCATCCCTATTTGTAAGTGCACAGTACATTTTATTTCTCTTTTTTATTTTCTTTCTTTTTCTCTTAATAAGGTTTATTACGAATCATTTTTTCAAATGCATCAAGATATGAAAGATCACTCACTTTGGATTGCCACCATCACATATTATATTGAAAACAAAAGGCAGAAAAGAAGCACTAAATTGAACATGCATTTGCATGAAATTAGGAAGAAAGGAAAACAGTTCTAGCATGTTGCTAAATTGGAAGAACAACTTTTTGTTTTTTAAATCATGGGGCAAAACCTGTTATGGTGGGTAAATAGCCGAAATCTTTAGTGATCAAAGTTTGCTTCTTGCCCATGCATGTGAATCTTTTGAATGGATATTCTTGTAAAGTTAGTAACGTGATAGGGTCATTTTGGAAAAAGATATAATTAAAGATAATAAAGACCTAACATAATTGATTGTAAGATCCACGGATTAAATTTGACAATAAAAAAATATTTTTCTCTCTATATCGTGTTGTTGAACAATAAATTAGGATTCAGATTTTAGATGAAAAAAAGACTTTTTTCTTTTAGTAGAAACTTTTTAAGGTATTCTTTTAATTTTTTATTACTTTAATTTTTAGTTATTATATTTATTTATAAAATAAATTTTAAAAATTTAGAAATAAATTATTCATATTTAAAAATAATAGTTACAATATAAAATATTTATTATATATAATATTTAAATATATATATATATATATAATATTATAAATTTTAGTTATATATATAATAAATATTAAAATATTAGTTCCGAAAAGCACTTGTATAGTAATCTAGCTGGATTTGAAAGAGTAAGTTAACTGACCGCTAATAGAAGTAATTCAACATTTATGTGTGCACGAAGTTACAGGGATGGATGAAATTAAATCTACTAACTATAACAAAAACAAATAAAAATTCTCTGACCGCTTAGTGGGATGAGAACAATGACTTGTACCCTAACAATCATTAAATTATTGATTCACTGAAAAGTGAAATCCATACAGTTCCTCCTAGTTCGGTATTACCTCATAAAGATAACCTAAAGTTCAGTGCTAAACCGTACCAATATGTCGCAACTACATTTGTAATATCATCAAAGTTTGCCTTTGGAAGATCACAAGACAAAATTTTTATTTTTATTTTTTGGTTCGTCCTGGAGTATCCACCGCCGACAGCAGTGACTAATCTCCTCGCTACGTTGAAGGCATATACTACCATTTAGTATCTAATACTTTGTTTACCTTTTATAAATTTCATATTTTTGTAATTTAAAATTAAATTGATTTCCCTTCCGCTCTTTCAAACATACTCCAATTTCAAATATATCCTAAAATATTCCGTTGTGAATAACCCGGGGATCCAAACATAACCCCGGCGAAATAGTGAAATACAACCAAAAACTGAATAAGACTTTATGGCGCGAATATAAACCCGGGTAAACTTGAATTGGACACAACCAAAAGTTCCAGAAGAACAAAAATAAGATTACATTTTGCCTGTTAATATGAATATTGGTCCATGACAAAACTAATGCTTTAGTCGCAATTGAAAATGAAAACAAATTCAATCATTTATACATATATAATATTTACAGAGGGGAATTACCCCCAAAAAAAATTAGAAAAGAGAAGAGATGAAGAAAATAATAAACCTACCCTAGCCATTCTGCAACTAAAAGATTCAAACTATAGGGGGAATATTCTGCATCTATTGCTCTCATTGCATTTTCTGGTTAACTGTATTCTTGGATTGCAATTTATCCAAATAAGCAATGGTAAATATTGGTGCAGAGCCAAACTTCAAAAAGAAGACAAAACCTAATAGTGAATCCTCTACCAGTCCTCCAGCCATTCGGGCACATTAAGTTCTTCTACCTCCTGTAAAGGCGACCCCAGATAACCAGTACTAGAATCCTCAGAATGAACTTCCAAGTACTGTGTTATACGAGAAATAATTTCCTGAGGAACAGGAAAGGTGCGGTGTCTAATCCCTTCCCATTCAATACCATTAAACCACGGGTGACTCTTGACAGAATCAGGACCTTGGCTACCAAGTCTAGTGTTTTCTTCCACTTCAAGTAGCTGAACCAACCAGTCAAATGAAACATAAATGAAATAAGTATGCATAGATATTCTCAAGAACACACCGCATATATTTTAAGCAATGCAAACTACACAGATTATCTTGGGAGAAAGAGAGTCATAGTTCTTGCAATACCTTGGAGATGAGATCAACAGCTTCAGGACTAAAAGTCTCGGGAAGATGCAGCTTCCTTTTTGCAATTTTGGCAACTGTATCGAGTTCATTTTCTCTCCATGACCCAAATGGCATCTCACCACGTAACATAAAATATATTAAAACTCCCAATGCCCACCTGCATAATCATCAATGAATGCTTTACATCACAAAATGCTATGAAGGGACATAGGACCATAAATGCTTTACATGCTAGAGATCCCTTGAATCCAATTTGGTACAATGCACGTCGGGTGTAATTACAAATTTTACAATCATATTGGTAATAGTTCAAATGAATTTTTACATTGCCTTTTAGGTCATGTCTGTGTTTTGAGGAAATAAAGAGGTTTGCTACTGACAAGAGGTATTGTGTGGTTTAAGGAGAGACAGCGTGTTTGGACAAGTTTTATTTATACCAGTCGGCAGGGAAACCATGGCCTTTTCCCAAAACAATCTCTGGAGCCAGTGAATCTGCCATTCCACAAATTGTGAATGTTCTCTCACCAGACAGCTGTTTTCCAAATCTGAAGTCCACCAGCTGCAACCAGTATAAGAATAATTTGTCAAATGTGCATAATATTAATAATTGTATAAAGATATCCCTTTATCACAAATATCAGCGTTATCAATCCATGGTGACATAAGTCACATAAATATCAGCGTTATCAATCCATGGTG